GCCGACAGCTACTGCTCTCTGCATTCCAAGCCATTCATCTGCTCTGAAGATGGAGGCGCTACGTTCCTCCGAAACGTCGGCCAAAATGAAGAATACATGGTGCCTAAACCCAGAAGACAACTTTCTTCATTTACTGATTTATGTTCACATAATTTTGTACCATACTGGGATACCTAGAGTTTATCTAAGAAAGAAACCTGCACCCAATTACTAATTTCATACAGCAGGGATGTGCCACAGCTCAAGTGGTTAGTCGCTGGCTTCCCACCGTGGCAGCCCGGGTTCAATCCTGGGTATGGTCAAGTGGGATTTGTGATGGACAAAGTGGCACGGGGGCAGGTTTCTCCAAGTACTTTGGTTTCCCCTGTCAATCTTCATTCCACCAATTGCTCCACAATCACCCTCACCTATCATCTGGGGCTGGTACAATAGGTCAGAAGTGGCTCCAGTACAAGGGGCTTACTTCCACCCCATTAGCAATAAAAAAATTCATACAGCACTTTCTTCTAAGAACATATTTCATGGCATTCTCATGCTCAGTTTCAAAACATAAAATGCACTAGCATAAGTCTGACTTTTCACTCTTGATAAGTTTACCAGTAATCATAAATTATTTTCCTGTATGCATCTCAATAAAAAAAACACAAATACTTGATACAAATAAATAGTTAACTTGTCAGTGTTAAAATTCCAGTTGCTCTGGTTATTATTCAGCAAGAACCTCAGTAACCTGCAACTGTTTGTGAACGATATCAAACCAGAAAGGCTTATAGATCTTTAATAAGAATTGAAAGAATGTCACATTATATGCATACCGCTTAAAATTTAACTGTTCAGACAGTAGACCTTATAGTGTATATTTATACCTCAAGAAAGGGGCTATAAAGTATACTGCAGAGTTAAAACAACTGGAATCATGCAGAAATAGTTTTAGGCATCTAAAGATATTAACAGTATACTTGTTATACATTCAAGAAACAATCCTATTTGCAAAAGAAAGTTGTACCTGCACTGTAAATAAACAAGTACATACATGTAACACAAAAAATGACTATCACAGGTATGTACATAATTTAGAACTTTACAACAGTAAACCATCATAGCAGGTTATATCTTCAATAACAAATTGCCTAACATAAAACAAATAGGTAACAACATTCAGTTTAAAAAGGAACTGAAGAACTTACTTATTAATGGATACTATTAATCAGCAGGTTATCTCAATGAAGAATTCTCGAATATCAACTGCTGATAGCATATGCACAGAATAAGTTTATATTTATACTCATTACGGTATTTCAATAATGTTTAATATAGACTGACAATTCATATATCATTGTAATCTCATCTAGAGCATGAATAAAAAATTAATGAATGAATGCTCATCTCCTATAAAATACTGATTAATGGCTGGCTTATATTTATACCAACAGTTCTTGACGAACTTCATTCATGTTTTTACACTTTTCCTCCTTGCTGAGATTTTCTTCTTCCCAGCAGGAATGTAACTCCACAAATGCTCGTTCTACATCCCCAACAATTTCTTTCAGTGAAGGCAACCTGCAAATATAACACAATTGCACGAGTTCATATTCATGAAAGCCAAATTAATTTTCTGTAGCAAAAATCTTAAAACTATCACATGCTCAAAGTTCTTTTCTATATAATATTCACTCCAATTCTATGGGTTGCAACTGGAAAACATACCACGGACGTGACATTTTACTATAACTGAATGTTCCGAACATATCACGATGCTGTATGATATAATATCTCAAATTTCCCTTAACGTGTTATAAATAATGATTCGGGATCATATAAAATCACAGATTACCATATTCCACCAAACAATACCTTTCAAAACACCTATCAACGCACTATAGTACGCTACAGTATTATGAAAATAACGAACAGATTGTTGATTGGCCTGTGATACACGGAACACCAACTGTGTTGCAATCGAAAATAAACATTTAACCATGTAACTTATCATTTATTTTCATTTGTGAAAAATTCCTAAGCTTCAGTTTAAAGGTAACACGACGGTAATAATGCACATATCATGTTGCAACAAATGTCCATTCCAAACTTGCTTTGAAAGAACGTTATCCCCATCATTTTTATATCCCTACATAAATATGAAGTTGGCGATAACTTTCACTTCTTTTAGCCGCGAAGTACAATGAAAGTCAGTTAAATACAACTGATGGACGTACATGATAGATTTGTACGGACACAATCGTCGTTATAAAACAAGCAGTGAAGAAGAGGAGAGAATGTAATGTATTTAATTCAGTTCATATGGGTAATTTTGTTAATAAAGCTTGGGAAACTATTAGAGAGAATATAAAAATATTTGCCAAAGAGAGTCTAGCTTCTTATGAACTGAAGAAGCATAAGCCATGGTTCGATGAAGGATGCTCAGAATTATTAGATCAAAGAAAGCAGGCCAAATTGCAATGGTTACAGGATCCAAGCGAGTTAAATGTGGATAATCTGAACAATATAAGACGTGAAACCAGCAGGCATTTCAGGAACAAAAAGAGGGAATATCTGAAAGACAAAATTGATGAGCTTGCAATGAACGGTAAGAACAAGAACATTAGATACCTGTATAGAGGAACAAATGACTTTAAGATGGGTTACCAGCCTAGCAGTAACTTAGTGAAGGATGAGGATGGTGATCTGCTTGCAGATTCCCACAACATTTTGAATAGGTGGAGGAACTACTTCTTTCAGTTATTGCATGTACATAGGGTCAGTGCTGTTAGGCAGACAGAAATCCATAGAGCTGAGCTGTTAATACCTGATCCTAGCCCTTTTGAGGTTGAAAGAGCTATTGTAAAATTGAAACGGTATAAATCGCCAGGTAGTGATCAAATTCCGGCAGAACTTATTCAAGCACGAGGCAAAATATTACGTTCTAAGATCCACAATCTAATTACTTCTATTTGGCATAAGGATAAATTGCCTGATCAGTGGAAGGAGTCTATTATTGTACCAGTTCACAAGAAGGGTGATAAAATTGACTGTAGTAATTATAGAGGGATATCACTGCTATTTCGAAATAAGAAAACAGAAGGCTAATTGGATTGTTCATATCTTATGCAGTGACTGCCTTCTAAAAGAAGTTATTGAAGGAAAGATAGAGGGGCGGATAGAAGTGACCAGAAGAGGAGGAAGAAGATGTAAGAAGATGCTGGATGACCTTGGGGACAGAAGAGGATATTCTCATTTGAAAGAGAAAGCTCTAGGTCGCATTAAGTGGAGGAACTGTTTTGGAAGAGACTGTGGACCTGTTGTCTGACAGATTACTGATGAATGAATGAATGAATCATTGCTATCAACTTCATATACAATTTTGTCCAATATTCTTCTTTCAAGGTTAAGTCCATATATAGATGAAATTATTGGAGATCATCAGTGTGGGTTTTGATGTAACAGATCAACTACAGATCAGATCTTTTGCATTCGTCAGATATAGGAGAAAAAATTGAAGTACAGTACATCAGCTATTCATAGACTTCAAGAAAGCCTATGATTCAGTTAGGAGGGAAGTATTATACAATATTCTAATAGAGTTTGGGATACCCATGAAACTAGTTAGGTTGATTAAAATGTGTTTAAACGAAACGTATAATAAAGTCTGTGTAGGTAAACATTAGCCTGATAAATTTCCTATTCAGAATGGTCTAAAACAAGGAGATGCTTTATCGCCACTCCTTTTCAACTTTGCATTAGAATATGCCATTAGGAAGGTCCAGGGAAACCAGGTGGGACTAAAATTAAACAGGACACATCAGCTGTTGTTCTATGCCGATGATATGCATCTACTGGGTGATAATGTAGATACCATAAAGAAAAACACACAAATTTTAACTGACACAAGTAAAGATGTTGGTCTAGAAGTAAACAGAGAAAACTTCTTATATGTTACTGCCTCGTCACCAAAATGTAGGGAAAAATCATGACATAGAGGTAGGAAACAGATGTTTTGAAAAGGTGACACAGTTCAGATATTTGGGCACAACGATAACAGATTGAAACCTGATTCAGGAGGAAATTAAGAGGCGATTGAACTGGGGTGATGCTTGCTACCATTCAGTCCAGAACCTTTTGTCTTCTCGCCTGTTGTCCAAAAACATAAAAATTGGAATATACAAAACTATAATTTTGCCTGTGGTTCTATATGGGTGTGAAACTTGGTCTCTGACATTAAGGGAGGAACATAGACTGATAGTGTTGAGGAGAATATTTGGACCGAAGAGAGATCAAGTGACAGGAGGTTGGAGAAAACTGCATAATGAGGAGCTTCATAATTTGAGCTCTTCTCCAAGCATAATTAGAATGATGAAGTCAAGGAGGATGAGGTGGACAGGTCATGTAGCACGAATGGGGGAGACGAGGAATGTGTATAGGATATTGGTGGGAAAGCCAGAAGGAAAGAGATCACAGGGAAGACCAAGGCATAGGCGGGTGGATAATATTAGAATGGATCTTAGAGAGATAGGATGGGATGGTATGGATTGGATAGATCTGGCTCAGGATAGGGACCAATGGAGGGCTCTTGTAAACACGGTAATGAACCTTCGGGTTCCATGACATCCTGGGAAATCCTTGAGTAGCTGCAGAATTGGCGGCTCCTCCAGAAGGGCTCAGCTCCATGAGTAAGTAAGTAAGTAATATGGGCAATTTAAATAAAATTGTATTAGTTCAAGTTTTATAGTAAGTTGTTTTTAAATTATGTTTATTGATTCAAATCTTTTTAAATTTTTTACTTTATATTATTATTTATGTTAATCGATTAATGTAAGTGATTTTGATTACGTGACTCATGTAATTTTTTATACGTATCTGGACACATCTATTTTCAAAGAGACTATTTCCACATCGTAGGTTGATTACCTGTATGGATATATGGAAAATAAAGGAAATGAATGAATGAAATAAAATCTACCACTATTCTATTCTCAGACTATGAATAAACCATAGGATGGAGCGATATGTAGTAAATTATGGGATATTCTGACTGACTGTGGTGTCCTGGCAACACTGCCAAGAAGGGATAGAGCAGTCGGTATAGCGATGCGCTATGGGTTGGACGATCCCTGTTAGATTCCCGGCAGTGCAAGATTAATTTCTTTCTCACATATTTCCGACCGACTCTAGGGCCCAATCAGCGTCCTATTCAATGGATATCGGGGGCGCCTTTCCTGGGGGTAAAGTGGCAGAGGCTTGAAGCTGACCATTCACCTCAATCTAACACCGAGGTCAAGAAATGTGGAGCTATACCTCCACTCCCCCATATGTCTTATTGGCATCATGCTTAACAATTTAAGGCAAGGAACAATTTCAACATTACCTTTTTGTAATAAAGAACTACGATAAACAGAAGATTGGTCATTTATTAGTACCATTTCAAAATGCTATTAAAAGGCCTCAATCACTGCTGGTGTTTTTGTAAAAAAGATTTGAAAATTAAGAAAAGAAAGAATGAAAGCAAAATACAGATATGTTAGTCATTCATTTTAGGAAGCAAGGAAAATCCATTTAGCAAACACAATGGAAATCAATTTTAAGAGACATACAGAAGAATTAATAAAAGTTATAAATCTGCAGATTTCTGATCAAGAATTACAAGAAAAACCAACTTATGTTAATGGTAAAGAACAATGTCCATGGCTTATGCTAACCGTCTTAGGGTGTATACACTTTTTCACTTCCACTCTTCACTTCCACACTACATGTTTCATCACTAATGTGCCATCTTCAGGTGTCTTTATGCACGTTAAACTATTGTACTGCATGCCATGATGTCTTCATTCTAAAATGACTAAAATCTGTATTCGTCATATATGTCGATGAATTCTAAATAATAAAACTTTTCAGGATTCATCCTACCTCGCACTCAAACACGCGAATTACGCCAATCCTCTTTTATGTGAGCATTCTTCCTACATACATTTGTGTATCGTGTTCTGTGTTGTGTTTTGCTCCTGTTACTGCATGCGTTGTACTGCTGGATATGTGTGTGTGTGTGTGATGTTGCCAGACATGTAGCATGTGCAAATTAAAGGCATATCTTCCCCATTGATTTATTTGTCCTTTCTGTTTGAATGTGTTGGTTCCGTTCATATCGAATTAACTCGACCCCTAAATTAATTTTACAGGTTCATTCATTTACACGCTTCAAAATACTTTTAACAGATACATAAAACGGTATTTAGAACTGCACACAGCAACAGGACATGCACTGTATTTATGAATAAGATTCCTGGGTATGTTTGCTTGAAAAACGCTGGTCTAATGTTCATTCAAACTGCCTGCTTTGGTATGAAAGCAGTCCCACTCATTATTTTCATGTTGACATCTGATATTTCAGTATATTGTCTGCCAATTCAGTACTTTTCCTGTAGCAACATAACAAAGCGGTTTCCGTTTTAATGGGACTGTTACTAGGAGACTGCATTTTGAGGTCATTACATTAATACAACACTGAGGCTTAAAATGTTTGCTTTTGTTCTTTCCAAATTTTCATATACTGAAGGTAGAACGGGGTTACAGGGAGGCTGTGTCTGTTTATACGAATATCCATAAACTACTCAACAAATTCTGACCAAATGAGGCGCTGAGAATGCCCATAAAACTGGCATGATAAAAATTCTTTTCTTTTATATCATTCAAACATAGCTCCCATGTCACTTGAAGCTCATGTCAGACTCAATTGTATTACAAACTGCTCATTCAATAAAAATAAATGAAGTTCATAACGCATACGTCATAACTCTTTACAAATTTCATCGGAAACATTTTTCATATCATGTATACTTGAGACATACCCAGGGACAATAACATATGAGCCTGAATAGTGCCGTGGTTGCGCGCTGTGTTAGCGTTGCAGCTGATTTCTATTCGTGGTT